TCGCATCCTGGACCTGTCCGCATGCTCGTCGTTTGCCGCCCCGACGCCGCATATACTATTACCGTCTCTCTACCTTCTTGTTCCTCGGCATATCAACTCCTTGTCCCTAGCTTTCGTCCGCCCTGCTCTCAAGTTGCTTTCTTTGATGGTTCTAGAATAATGTTTGAATGACCCATGGACCCTAAACCCAGAAACTCTAACAACCGGAAGCCTTGATAATCAGCGGCCTTCCGCATGCACCCAGGCGCTCCATTGACCAAATGTGCTTCTCGGACCAGCCGAGACCCGAGACCAAGCAGAATGCCAGAGTTCGTCGCAGTCGTACATGGTCATGGTTTGGGGTTTGGGGGTGAAGGGTTCCGGGCTTTATGGTGTTGGGTTTTTGTTGTTGTTGCTTATTTTCGGGGTTTAGGGTTGTGGTACATTTCGCTGTAGTAACCCGTCTGCGAAAATATCTCTAGTGTCGCTCGTGGTAGCTGTTACTGCAAGGGAGAATCCATCTAAGTTGTAGTCTGCTCTTTCTTTGGTGACCATGATTGCGTTCGGGTCCAGGCTTTTGGGTTTCGGGTGGCTGACATTCTCCTTGTGGTCTTACGGCTACTTTCGGTTTGGCCTCATTGTGTAAAGATGGCCCAAACAGAGGCATTCTCATGCCTGCACCGAAAAACTTAAGACTAAGGTGTAGTGTTTTGGGTGGTTTATTTGATGATCCGTGTTTCATAGACCATCATGCCAACACCGAAGTTTTGACAGCGAGGGTGCATAGATTGCCACAAGACCATTCCGCACGTAGCCAGCCAGCTATCTCGCAAGAAGACTAAAGCCTCACCCGCATTGCCCAAGACCCCAAACTCATTGCACTGTGGTTTCAATCCTCCTACGGACTCATACGAGTAGGAGCAAGTCACAGTCTACTCATCGCGATGCGATGCTATGGACACCAAGGAGAGAAAAGTGCCATGCATGAGAGGAAATGCCCCTCAACATTTGCAGGTTTTACTTCGTCTGCCTCATGCAGTGCATTGGGGCTATGTCATTGGTCTTCGGAATGCAGATTATCTTCGAAGCTGGGTACGGCCCTCAGAGCTCTTTGTCTGGCTCTGTTTGGTCTTCGGGGCCCAGGGGTTATGGATTTGGACTTTGGCATTGGAGGTCTAGAATTATGTAAATGATTCGGGTTTAGAAAGTTGAGATCCGCAGGCAGGGACTGGGGTTAGAATCTCTGGCTTGGCGTGTGAGCTAAGACATACAAGCAGCTGTATTCTGGCTGTCGCAGAGCTCATGTCATGATTTCAGACAGCCTCAATCCCCAAGCTACCATAAACTCATAAATTCAAGATCCTTCCATGAAGCTTTAAAGCCAGAACTTTCAAGTTCAGGGAGCACAGCCTCGGATCTTCGTGTTGGAGCTGGAGCTTAGTGGTGATGGTGATGAAAAGGATGATGGTGATGATGGCGGTGGCGGTGGCGGCCGTGGTGGTGGTGGTTTTGGGGCCCCGGAGTCAGTGCTTTAAGGTTCAGGATTCTAGGGCTCAATGCCTTTGCGGGATATCTCCGAGCAGCCAAGGTGTAGTTGTGCTGTTAAGCAACGAAGCGAAGCTCGTGGTATTCATCATGACTTGATGTCCTCAGTCTCATCGCCTTGAACCAGCTCCTTTGCATGTAGCAGACCGTAGCAGCTATCAGATTGTTGCTCTTGCAGTAACCATAGCAGCAGATGAAACTCCCGAAGCCTCAAGGAAGTCCTTGAAGTGGAACGCCCTAAGGCCCTAAACACTAGACGAACAGACCCAAAACCCTAAACCCCAAACCCTGGTGGATGTGACTGCTCTTGGTGACCCTGGTTCGTGAAAGCGACCCTGAAGAGAATGCTACTTGCCGATTGGTGACGATGTTGATGAGTGGGTGGAACGGTGGTGAGACCGGGTGCGCCTTGCCTTGGGGGTCTCAGGGTTACGTGTTCAAGTTCAGACGGAGTCATCGAGGTGGACAGCTACGGCATGGAAGAGGGTGAAGGGATTTGCTGTGGCCGAAGCTGAGTACCATGCAGTGGGATGACTGGGCGGTCTATGATGACATGTACCTCCGGCCACCGACGAGGACTCGAAGGTCCAGAACCGGGTGAAGCTGGGGTGGAAAAACGAATCAAGCTGCCATTGCCGAGTGACCTCCGTGATAAGCTTGTCCTGCAGCAATTTAGACTTGTGGATGGTATAGCTACACCGAGCTCTCATGCTACTACGGTCAAAGGAGAAGTGCAAAGGGATTCGCCACTACCGGCATCATCTGATGTTGATGAAAGTCGGGGGCCGGCGCCCTTGGTCCTGGACTTCGAGAACTACCTCCAGCAGCATGGCAGGTTCCAGCGACAGGAGATTTCGGAGTCCTATGTGGTAAACCCCAAGGACGAACATGAATGGCAACAGCTACTCATGGCAGGGTTCCCCACGAGTCAGCCAGGGTGGGGCCGACTGGGTCGTCGGCGGGATCGCAGTGACTAGGAGTTGTGAGGGAGTTCCGCTGCTGATTTGATGTGTGCAGGAGTGAAATGGCTCTTGTTTGGAGTTTCAAGTCTGCTGGGAACTTGCCTGCCCTCTTGGGCTCCCTGTGGATTCGCCGCAGAAAGGGGGCCCTCAAAAAAAAATATCGCAAACCCCTAAACCCCTAAACCCTTAACCCTAAACCCGCAAACCTCAAGCCCCTAAACCCTAAACCCTGTCCTTGAGGTGGAACATGTTCGAGGATCCGGCGACTCCCGTGGTCCTCGGGTACGCCTTGTGCCTGTGCCGAGGCTGCTGCCTCCGCCTGTCCTCTGCGCTTTTTCGAGGGTTTAGAGTATAGGGTTTAGACTTGACGGTTGAGAGTTGAGGATTTAGGGTTTAGGGTGGGGGATAAGGGGTCGTTTCAGGGCTTTTTATAGGGCGACTTCATAAAATGCCAGAAACCCTCAACCCTAGAGCCCCTAGAGTCCCAGCAAAGCAAGTCAGGCACAAGCGCCATGACGGGGGTCTCTGCTGGATACTTGAAGATCTGGGCCGGAAGCTGAGGCTTAGTGTTGTTTTTTACATGAAGGGTTTAGGGCAGTTGGGGAGCCCGCGAAACCCCGAACCTTCAAACCCAAGCCCTGAAACCTTATGCCAAACCCTGACTTCCCAGCTAACCTAAGCGAGTTCAGGGCCGTCAAAGCCACTTGACGGAAAAGTTTTTAGAGCTAACTAGCTATGTATGTGCGTATATGTATATATGTGTATATCTGTCTGTTTGTCTGTCTGTCTGTCTGTCTGTCTGTCTGTCTGTCTGTCTGTGTGTCTGTCTGTCTGTCTGTCTGTCTGTCTGTCTGTCTGTCTATCTTATAAGTCTTATAAGTGTAGATATATAAATATATATAAACAGATAGATATATACAACGGCATCGTTTTCTGCACATATGTACATATCCACACATATACAGATAAGAACAGTTGGAGTGAGGTGGTCCGCTACCGCACCTGGGCAGAGACGGGCTACCAGCAGGTGGGCCTCGTCCGTTGTTGCCACTACAAGTTGCTTTGGGGCTTGTGGAGGAGTTCTAGGTTTGGGGTTTAAGGAGTTCTAGGTTTGGGGTTTGGGGTCTAAGGGGGTTTGGGGTTTCTATACAGTCTTTGTGTCTGGTGTTTGTTATAAACTTTTTGGTGGGATTGCGATAGAGATTCTGCATGCTGCCCTATCCCAGGGTCTGGGTTTTATTGAATTTCAGACTGTGTTTGTCTGGATGCTTAAGCCGGTCATGGGTTCCATGATGCAGCTGGGTTTCGGGTCCCGGCATGAGGTTTTGGGGCTTTCGGGGCCCAGGGAAAGGTTTAGGGTCATGAGGTTTAGTTTCTGTTGGTTGGGGTTTGAGATGATGGGCCAGTGTTCCGGCTTCGAGCAAGCGGACCTAAAAAGCAGACAGAAATCATCTACCACCGAAACAGATCCTCGGAAAGAGGTCCCAGGCAGCATGACAACTTGACCCGCTCATACCATTCCACAGCTTTGCACGATGGATTCTACTGTCCGGGTGTTGTTTTAGTCTCCTTATATACTTCCTGCTGCACGGAGATATTAAAGTTTGCTATCTCGGTGCTACCGTAAAACCCTAACACTAAATGTCCTGACGGATCGTCCAGGCGATCATGAAGAAGATGCAGGCCATGTCCGGCAGCACCGCTGGAGACCCAGAGGAGGGTTTCACGGGTTGCGTCAAGGCTAGGTTTTAGGGCTTGGTGGCGTCTGTTTTAGAGGTTGCGGGGGGGGGTTAGGGCGTTGTGCTTGGGGATTGGGTGTAGGACTTAGAGGTTTAGCGTCTTGGTCCTTGTCGTAGACTCTGGTGAGAATACTGAAGCTCTAAACCGGAAGAACCTCAGCAACAGCTGTGTGGGACGCTTGGGCTATTGAGGTGCTTATAGGTTCAGGGTTCCGGGGTTTCCCCGTTTACACTTCAGACTTGGGGGTTTTAGGGTTCAGAACTTAGAAACTTAGGGTTCAGGATTTAGGGGTGCTGGATGTGGGGGGCTTGGAGAAAATCTGCAAGGTTGAGGAATTTTCGATGCGACCTAAATCACGCGTAGGACTAGAGAGACGAAGCCCGGCGCCCTGTAGCAGCAAGGGCGTATGCAGATCCCAGGTCACTACCGCCAGACTACAGCAAAGTTCTCCCCAAGCACCTGAACCCTAAACCGTACCCCAGCTGATTTGGGATCCCTACTGCCAGTAGAGTCATCCTCGAGCCCTAAACACCACTGAACCCTCGAGCAGCTTTCATCCCATAGTGCTATTCTCTTTAAGGTACACACACACACATTTATGAACTTCCAGAGCCTTCTTGTAACATGTGCAGATTTCCCTAAGACAGTCTCAACACGTAACATAGCTAATCCCCAAATCACCAAACCCCAGAGCCCCAAAGCCTAAACTCCAAAAGCCCCAAGCCCTAAAACCTAAAACTCCTTCTTATGTTGTCCAAGCCTCAACCCCCAATTAAACCCAAAAATCCTTCTCATCCCTAAAAAAACCGGAACGCCCCGAGGCGGACGAGAAGCCTCCACCACCTCCAGCCGGCTCCGTGCACGATGGCTGGCCAGAGTCCCTCGGCGTGATCGAAAGGTGGGTTTTTTCAAGGGACTTTAGGGACTGGCATTCAGGGTTCTTAGGGTTCAGGATCTAAGTCTAGGTAGGTTTTTCAAGGGAGTTTAGGGATTGGCATTCAGGGCTCTTAGGATTTAGGATCTAAGTCTAGGTAGTGTTTAGGGCTTTAGGTATCAGGCCCTGGGACTTAGGTTTTAGAGTTAAAAGGGCTCCAAGGTTGAGATGTTCGTATCAGTTTTGAGCGGAGGGGCGCTAAAACTCCTGTGGCTCAATCATGACCCACCATGCTTTGATACTGCTTCGTGCCTGCCAAAGGCCAGCCCACTACGACAAGCACGGCATGGAAAGGCCGGGGCCGTAATCGGGATTTAGGGTTTCGGATTTAATTTTCAGGCTTCAGGGTAGCATCCAGCACAGCACAAGATGCTATGACTAGCCTTTCTGTTAAGCATATATGTTGCGCACCGTAAGCATTCGCCCTGCTTGTTGATGCCGTTGACCGTGTGTGGGACTGTAGCTCTATGGTGGATCCAGGCTCTTTCTTTGTCCTGGAAGGTGCCCTAAACCCTAAAACCCTAAATGGAAGGTACCGGGTCGCTTTCCTGGCCGAGAATCAGCTCTGGCTGCAGGCAGACTTGTGAGTTGCTCTGCGCAGTCACCTCCACCGAATCCCGCATAAGGCTACCTCAAACAGTCAGAGCGTTTAGGGTTGTATTGCGAAGGGGTATAAGGCTACACATGTGGCGAGACCTCTGGTTTGGGATGTCAGTTCATGTGGTGGGTCGGAGGCCCTGGCCAGAAATACATACCCCTGCAAAAAGAAGAAATCTGCATGTATTCTACTTCGGCATCACGGCATGACTAGACTTCTTCTGCTTTGGTGATACATGAACTGTGCACATGACAGTGATGGCAATTTCGATGGCACTACACAGGATTGGTCTGCGCCTTGCTTGAGAAGTCTGCGTGCCTTGCTCACCACCCAAAGACAGCCCAGATAGCGAGTGGGTGGCTGCGGAGCTTGGACACTTTGCATCCCCTAGAATCCTCATGTGGTGGTAGTAAGAAGGAAGGTTAAGAGCTAGTAAATTGGTCAGTTCGCTGTGATAACTAATTGGCTTTGTGAGGTAGCCGTGTCTGAGATGATGGACAAGAGGACCTTGGAAAAGCCGCGCCCTCGAATCTTCGCACCTGTGGGATTCGACACCCGTTGGAGCATGATAAACGGCCAGTGGTGGTGTTAGCATGGGTGTATAGCAGCTTCGCCGACGACGCGTGCCACCAACTTGCTCGCCTGCTTCCACATTTACGTGTACCTTTGGGAACAACACGTGGCCAAATCCACGACCACAACTTAAAAACATTGCTGCAATCTTGCACCGAAGTTGGCACCGACGACTCCCATTGCTAATCCCTGCAGAGTTTCACGGAATGTCTTGGCATGTCAGCCTGTTGTGCCTGTTCTGCAACATCGTCCGTTCGGGGGCTCCTAGCCTTCATGTGCCAAGAATCCCGTGTAACATAGCTTAAACGAAGCCCATGGCGGCATCCATAAATCCTTAAACCCGAAGCCTACTCTGCCAACATAGCATAGCCATAAACCCTGGAAAACCCTAAACCCCTGAACCCTAAACCCCAAGCTTTCTTCAGGCACCGCCAAGATCTTCTTGATGGCTTAGCCTCCATTGTCAACGAGGCCCATGCGCCATGCTCGGAGGTTGCCAGGAATCGAAGGCCTCAACCGGCGTCCCTAAAACTGGAAGCCTTAATCACCACACTGACCATACCTAAACCTGCGCTCCACCAAACCGTTACCCAACCCGATCTCGATTATCCTTCCCACAGCAGACAGCTCGAAAAGGAAGCTCTACCCGAAAGACTGGAAAGCAGGTACAAGCCGAAATGGGCACCTGAAAAACCAACAATTTTGTTCAACGGTCGAAGCTCTTCATCCAGATAGGGCTTGCAGGTAAGTTTGTGCAGAATCCGGCATGCATGTTGGTTGGGTGAAATTTCCCGTTTCCTCCACAGGGCTACACGGGGCAGGGAGCTTGCGATCCTTACCCGATGGGCAGGTTGCTCCGAAGGATTACGCGGCGGAAGGCACTGAGGCGGTCGAGAAGGACTCCTGCTAACCTAGCAGGCAAGAGAGAAAGGGAGAGATGGAGAGCTAGCTGTTTCTTAGTTGCCATGCACTTCCTCGTCAAGCCTCGCCCCTGACCTAAAACGTGTGCACCAGTTCGGCCCAATGCCGGCAAAATAGACAGGTTCCTAAGAAAGGTATAATAAGGCAGGTCGAATGAAGCGTTCTTGCTCATAAATAAACATATACATGTATATGTATGGTACGTGTATGTATTCATCTACGCATGTGTTGTAATATATATATATATATATAGATATATATACATATATATGTGTATATATATTTATATGTATGTATGTATGTATGTATGTATGTATGTATGTATGTATGTACAGTCTTGTTTGAATGCATGTGTGTATATATGCTTTTACATATACATGCATGTGTATGTATGTACTTACATACATACATAGAGTCGCAATAGAGTTACACATTACATGTTTCCGAGTGTGTGTGTGTATACATACATATATATATATATATGCATGCATGCATGTTTGTATGTATGCATGCATGTATGTATGTAAACTGGATATGCCATTATATTAACGGTTCTATAGTGGATATTGTACGTACTAATATGTATGCACGCATACACACGCACACACACACACACACGCACACACACACACACAATCTGTCCATATACCAATGCTGACAGGAGATGTTCCAGTTCGGCGCCCCTCCTGCGATGGACCTGGCAAGAGCAGCTTCCGAGGTCCTGGTGTCGCCAAGATCGATACTATCATTAGTGCTACTCTATTCTGATTCTAGAGGTATGATGAATGGCTATCATTCTTGCCATTCTAAGAGGATTATGACTGTGACGTATGGTCATGATTGCTACTGTATTCTAAAGATATGATGAGTAACTAACATTCACACCGTTCTAACGAGAACATGATGGATACCTCTCAGTATTGCAGTTATTGATCAGAAAGTTATCAGTAACTGTTACGATCATTCCTACGATCATGATGATTTCCAGCTAGGAAGTGTTGGGAAAGTTTGCGGGCCTCTGATGCAGCACCCAAACTATGAGAGACTGTGTCAGGGACCGCTAAGTGGGGTCCTTAATCCTGCAACCCTACCTAAATACACCCCAAAACCGATGCTCTTGTGCTACAGCTCTGTCCTAAACCCCAAACCCTAGCGGTCCGGTGCTGCGTTTCTGCAAGCTCGAACTTCGCCTCATTGGGTCGCGAGGCTTCTTTTAAGTCGAGGAGATGTGGACCTTGAGGGTGTTTGTGTCCATGTCTAAATAAATACATATATATGTATATACATATTATGCTGGTTTGCTACACGGTCCCCGTATCTAACCGCGTCGCTCCTTCTTGCACGATACAGAGAGAGACAGACAGACAGAGAGACAGACAGACAGACAGACAGACAGAAAGATAGATATTATCTGCACATATCTCGCTCTCTCTCTCTCTCTCTCTCTATATATATATATATATATACATATATACATATTTTCGTATGCACTAACATACATATATGTCTATATACATGCATGTATGTTCACGCAGTGTGTCTGTGGATGTAACTGGTCAGCTTTGTGGCCAGATCCAGCGGGAGACGTACGAGAATTCTGCTCTCCGTCAGCTCATGAGGCCACGTCCGAGAGTTATTTGCGGTTCCGGGGTTTAGGGTATTAAAGCTCAGGCTTGAGTTTTATTTAGAGTGAGGAATTGCTCATTGACCGGAAATGTTGGATTTGTACTTCAAGCTTCTTGATCCCTGCAGCTCTTTATGATCCCTCCCAGCTGAACCGTGTGATATCTGCCCACCAAGCGTTGCCGACGCGGGGCATAGCCAGGATGTGGCGGGAGCGTGCCCAGTTCATGCTCTTCCTGCAGCAAGTATCTGCAATGGCCACGGCCTCGCCACTTTCGACAATTTCGGTGCTGCACATTTCTTAAACCATAGCTGAAGAGCCATCTAAGCTGTTACTTTCACGGACGAAGGTCAAGTTGGACAACTACCAGCGCCGCGATGCTTGCGAGATTTGCGGAAAGAGCAAAGACGAGCTGCCAGTGGTTGTGTTGCCCATCTACACTCTCCTGCTCTGACCCTAACAGGGTCGGACGGGTGCACTGAAACCATACTTACGAGGTTTAGGCTTCGCCTAGCCGGGAGTCGGAGCAGTCGACTGCTGAGGCATTTGGCTTCTCTTTACCGAGAACAGAGAGATATGCCGGATCCCTATTGGCACTGTATCGAGAGTGTTTCTTGATTGCCTTGTTCGTCTCGAGAGGTCGCCGTTATGGAATACACCGCTATGGAAGCACTTCTACCAGACCTTCACTCCAACTTGCACGCTTTGCGAGGACAGCGCGAGCAAGTCAGAAATCTTTGGACCGCGTCATCCCTGAGTTGTCACTGTCGTGATCAGGAGTGCGCCAAGTATTACCACAAGCGTAACACCAACATCCCGGTCAACGAGAAGCGCTACCAGCGTCTGCAGGCTGAGAGGGGGGGGGGGGGTCGGGGGGCAGCGGGTCAGAATTGGGCGCAGGGATGCTCGCCTATGATCACGAGATGGCAGCACGAAAGCCGTAGCGATTGGTGCATGTCACTGTTACGAGATATGGCATAGCATGCAATTGCGAACGGCTTCCACTTGTGTAGGCGAAGCAGAAGAGTGCTTACGAGAAAGTCAGGCAGGTCTGGCAGTGGCGGCACTTCGTTTTGCTTGGGGGGGGGTTCTACTTTACGATGTCGGTTCTAGAGTTGAGCCTTGGAGGTAACCTCTGTCGGGGTTCTTTTGTGCAGCTTGCACTTGCGACACTTTTCGTAAAGGACACTTGAGGGCTGTCAGCAAATGGTGTGCGATATTCTTCTGGGCGAGTGCATGTGCTGTTGCAACATCTTCACAGGTTTGAGTGCACGTTTGTAGATGTAGCGCACGCTCGCTGAGCAACTTCGAATCATGCCGCCAAGTGATCAGGGTGAGCGATTACCCTGTGATGACAATGGAGCCAGAAATGAAGCAGGCGTTGGCCTTACAGAGACTTGGGTAGGGGCGGGGAGGACCTCAGATTGTGTCACTTCCTGCACATTGGGCATCAGAATCAATCTCGCATGCCTTTTTGGTAGAAAGTCGGAATTGTATGTTTGGGTACAGCACTCATGGATTGGCCATCCGCACAGACCACATGTTCTCTCGAACCCTGAGGTTTTGAACCTCTGGCTCGAGTGGACAAGATGTCTTGTCCGAGACGAGCGTCCGCAAGATTTCCTTCCTCGCTTCGGTATCGAAGGAGAATTCCGCCCCCCATTGCGATAGGCTCTGAGGCTAACTTCAAGGTTTCAGCAATGAGCAACATTCTTCCTCTTTGCGAGCGTATGAAGTAGGCCGAACATGGTCCCGCATCCCCAAGTTTTTCGGAGCCGCCCTCCAACCCCCTCACCGCACATTCGGTCTGGAAGTCTTGGGGAGGATTGAGGTTCGCACCTAACTAGTTTCAGAAGGCTTTAGTTGCCGTGGCTACACTTTCAACTTACAGAGATACCCGAAAGGGGCCCGAGTTGAAAGCCCTGATGTCCACACAAGCAGGACGGACTATGCAAGAGATCAGGAAGGAGTTGTTGGACAAGGCCCAGAGTTGCGTTTCGAGCCTCTCATTCCTTGGGGTTCCTTGCTTTTTGTTTACCGAAACCCCCCATTCTTACGACCTCCATATTCTGTGAATAACTTGGGAGCCTTGGGCCTGGCAGCATCAAAGTACTAGTTACTAGAGTTTAGGGCAGTTTAGGGTTCAGAGTGTAGGGGTGTAGGGTTTAGGGGGGCAGCTAGGAGTGCACAGTGCTACAGATTTGCAGTCGAGCAGCTGATCCCATCCGTACCAGAGACAGGTCTTTCAATAAATGTGTAACCAATGGCGGTATCCTGCTGGCAGCTGCCAGCTCGGAAGGCTAAAGCCTAAGCCGTAACCGGCAGATGAACAGCTAAGTAGTGCCAAGGTACAACTCCCTCTGAAACACTTCTCAATTTATTCTTGCCCCTGTACTGTCCTGGTAAGGTAGCACTGTGAAAAGCTACACGTTCACGAGCTGTCAATCTATCTCTCATTCTTGGTTCGACTCATCATCTGGATTTCAACCCCGCATGAACTTCGATCCTCGACTGGTGTTCCTGCACCCCGATGTCTTTTGCTCATGCATACACTGTGTGGCAGCCGAGGCTGGATATTGCACGGGTTTCATCCGTGAGGCTTATATGTAGACCTACCAAGGCAACCATGAAGCCGGAGGTATCAGCAGCCAACCTATGGCATGCCAAGACCACGACAAAAGAAACAATTGTCCATGTCTTAAGGGATTACTTAGGCAGTTGGCGAAAGCCATAAACCAACCTTGAATCCCAAGCCCTCAACCTTCAATCCGAATCTCTACAATCCTGTTGTGCATGAAGAAACCGCGTGATGAAAACAGGGCGGAGCCGACGACGTGCCCAGCTCCCGGCTTCGAACCTTCTTGCCTCGACTACCACTCTACCACTATACTGCTGCTACTACTACCACCACTACTACCACTGCTGCTGCCAATTCTGATACTGCTGTGCTGCTAAATGCTAAAGTGTACCATCGTGACTACTATGCTTGATTGCTTTGATTGTTACTGCTGGTTACTTGCTAATTGCCAGTGTTTTCCTGATGCGTCTCGACTTGGACTGATCTGTCTTGGAAGTTTTTGAGTTTTTGCATGTTTGTCTGGTGCATCTAACTTGCGGGACTTACGGCACCCTCCTTCCGTGCCAACATGCTACTCCTGACACGCATATCGTTGCAGAACTAAAAGAAATTTCTGCTACCGTTCTATTGCTGTTGTTCCTGCTGTTACAAGAATTTGAGAGGCTTGAAAAGCTGGCCCGCCCCAACCACCGCTGACTCGCCAAGTATAATCTGAAAGTCCCTAGCGGCCCTAGCCTACCACCCAACACGCAAAAGGGCCCAGCCCAAGGCCCCGGAGCAAGAACCCTTGCATCCCAAACCCGAAGGCCCAGACTCCACAACCTTCACCTCCCCTGAACCAAACAGAGAGTATGCCAAAACTCGAAGTGCAGCGTGCATTGAAGCGACTGACTGCTGTGGTGCGAGTCACTCGATCCTTGGCTTGGCGGAGAAAAGAAACCTCGCCGTATATAAGAAAATAGATAAATTATATGCTTATAACCATAAATATCACATAATTATAATATAGCTATCATACAGTCATAATATATTTGTGTGGGCCTGCAGCTCGACAAGCCTAGAGAAAGGGCAATGATGTCTGCCAGCTCTCAGACTAAGGTCGCTGCCGTCAGTCTCAGACAAAGAGGACGAGGCGGAAACGACCATAAACAACAGGGTTTTGGGTGTAAGATTTACAAGTTTAGGGTCTGGGTGTCGGGGTTTGAGGTTTCAAGGGTTCAAACTTGGACTGAGGGTTTGGCCTATTCTCCGGAAGCTCAACTTGCGCCTGCGCTTTTTAGGGCGCTGGGGGCGAGTCAAACCTTCCGAGACAGTCACAGTCCTGGTCTAGAGTTCTACACCCAGTGGGGCTTGGGGGTACTCTACGGGCATCATAAGGGCTAATATAAGGGTACTTTGAAGGTTACTATGGATATTAGAACGGGTACTATAAGGTTAGTATAAAGGTTTAGGAGTCGACCCCGATGTTCTTTGACGCTTCAGTTTGAATCCCACCAGAAAAAGAGAACAAACCCTAAACCCAAAATGTCTGATGCCCCCCAAAACCCTGAACCCTTTCAACTTACATCCTCAAAGCCGACCCTGAAAGGCTTGTCAGATCTAAAGACCCAAAACCCATGACCCTGGGCATCCAAAGCCTCATGACCCCATGCCTGAAGCCCTCAGACTCTGCAACTGCCAAATTTTCAATGCCTCGATCTATCCTCCGAAACCCCAGAATCCAAAGACCCCAACTCGTACCCGAATCCCCAAACCTCTGGTACCTTTAGCATCCTAACCTGCAACCAAACCCTGAACCCAAAGCCTCCAGGACATCTTTAACGGCTTTTCACTAAGCCCCTAAGATTTATGATGTCTTTTTTCTGCAAAATCATATAGTCACCGGTATAGTACCCGCAGAGCACCCTTATGGTAACTCTTAAACTGAAACGCCTGTTGCATGCCGTTAGGCTGCAGCAGCTGATGATGATGGCATCAAGGCACCATTACGGCTTGTACGGTTTAGGCTTTGAGGTACTGCAAGCGTGCTGTTAGCCATGGTGGTGTTTGTGTGTTTTGTTGGCTATTCTCAAGGCTAAGTGTCCAGCAGGACCCCCGCAAGATCGACTTGGAAGCAGACGACATTGCACAGAAGCCGCCTCTCAAGGTGGGAGGGTTGGCTTTCGCAAGGTCTTGGGATTCCAGGATTTGTGATATGAACGACACGCAGGAGCTGTTGCCTGCCTTGCAGGTTCGTGTCAGGATCGAGAGACCCCTGGCAAATAATCCTAGGCTTAAACCTCTGAATCGCTCCGCTCACCTGGAACCTGTGATCTGCATTCATGTGGTAGTCGTCAAGCCTAGAATCCTAAAGAAACACGTTGCCGTCGCACGGACCTTTCACATGTCTGCGCATGAGATCGGTCAAAACCAGCCGAGCCCAACATGCAGAACTCTGACGCACTACCGAGCAACCGATCAAGCGATCAAGGAGCGTGGACATCAAAATGCAGGTTCTTGTACATGCATGAAGGTGTATACATAAGGACAATACATGCGTGCATGCATGCATACATACATACACACATACATATGTGTGTGTGTGTGCGTGCGTGCGTGCGTGCGTGCGTGCGTGCGTGCGTGCGTGCGTGCGTGCGTGCGTGCGTGCGTGCGTGTGCGCGTGCGTGTCTCTGTGTGTGTGTGTGTGTGTTTGTTGGCTGTGGTGGTTTAAATGTGCGTATACTGCAAAATGAGATACAGAGACAACCAGGCAGGAAGGCAGAGAGATAATACTGTAGTGAAGGGATAGAGATCAACGAGCTGCCATAAGGTGCTCGGATTGCCTGCATGACTGTGTGTTTGTTTGTCAACTAGCTGTGCATAGGTTGACCTATGATTCGTTTGTTAATTGTTGACTTTCCTCATTTATGTGTTCATTCGTTTAGCTATGTACTTGCATACGTATGTGTTCACGTATTGGTTTCTTCGTACTGTTAGCCACGTTTGCATGCATGTATGTCGGCATGTACGAACGTATGTATGTATATCTGTATGTTTGTATGTATGCGTGTGTGTATGCATGCTTGCACACATTTCTTCATTCACGTAGCTAGTTTGTTGGCCAGGTTTATTTTGCAGTAGTTACTTAGCTAGCCAGTTAGTTCATGAGTCAGGCTTGTATTTAGTCACAAAGCTAGTTATGTAGTTAGCACATAAGCTTGCTCATGAGCTAGCCAGCTTGTTATGTTGTCACTTTGCTACTTATTCAGCTAGCTAGTTATTTAGCTGGTTGGTTAGTTAGTTGGTTGGTTAGTTAGCTAGTTAGATAGTTAGTTGGTCAGTCAGCCAGCGAGTTATCTAGCTAACCACATAGCTACAGTACTTGGTAGTTAGTTACTTAGGTAGTGAATTAGTCTGTTGTTTGGTGGGTCAGCTGGCTAACTAGCTGGATGGCTGTTTAGTTAGTTAAATGTGTCCGTTTTCCCTGCAAGCATGAGCGGTTACTTAGGTGCGTAGACAGGTTGATTGTAGAAACTAAAAGGGTGGGTAGGCAAGGAAGCAGGTAGGTTAGTAATAAGATGGGAACGTATAGAACAGTGACAAAGTAGGTGAAGCAAATAATAGCAACGGCAGTACCCGTCGTGTGAATGGTGCTGCTCCTAAGAGTGGTAGAACATCACAAAAACACCTATACACAGTCCGAATTGACGTCTTTATAATAGCCTCAACACCGATCGAACACTCTAGAACTCCGAAGGTGCCTAAATCCCTCACCTGGTCGGAAGAGTCGATCATGCGGTCCTGGCTCCACCGCGCACGAGACAGCCTCCAGGACGGCGGTGGGGCGAATAGGTTCGGCTCGTCCAGGCTTTTGTGTTTAAGGGTTTCTTCTTCTGCCAAAGGTTGTTGTGTGCTAAGGTCTCGGGGGTTGTGGTCTGAGGTCTTAGGAGTGAGGGTCTGAGATTTGTTTAGGATGTCAGGGTCACGATTCAGTTGCTGATTGCATGTTGCCAAGGCGCCCCAGACAGTCAATTGGATGTATCCTATGGAAGCCGGGTTTGGGCCCAAGTGCTCTCTGCCAGCGGGGCATTGCCATAAAATGCAGATGCTTCAGCTGCTGGTGTTGGCTGTTTCGTTCCTGACACGGTGCAGAGAGTCGGCAGACAGTCCTGCTTTCCTCGTTATACAAAGGCCTTCCTCGTCATCACAGAACGATGCCCAGGAGTCAAGGCACGGAAACCAAGAGCTCAGTCAAGTCAAGGCATGATACTGAACAGAGTTGGGACGTAGCAGGAAGACTACCAATACTACTGCTGCTGCTGCTGCTGCTGCTACTACTACTACTACTACGACTATTTCTGCTGCTACTATTACTACTACTACTACTACTACGACGACGACTACGACTACGACTACGACTATCGACGACTACTACTAGGACATGTGCTTTTGCTGCCAGCAGAACCAATGGGAGCAGCAGATGTGGAGGTACCAACAGCGCGCCCTTGCTGGACAGCACAGTCCGTACTAGGTAGTAGCACTGTTATAGCTGCACAAATTCAACAACATGAAAAGTACTCCGAACAGTCATATGCCAGGCCAGAGGCGACGAAAGCAGGAGTCCGATTCGCTGCAACCACGGATGATGACGAGGACGGGCCTTCCCCGCTGCTGCGACTTTGGCTCACCCTTGTTGATGACGCTGATCATGGTGATGGTCAATGAATGAACGAGAGCTCATCATCTTCAGCAGCACCCACTAGATCACAATCATCAGCACTATCATCCTTCGATGACGAGCATTCTGAATTCTGGGTGCAGGGATCATCATCTTGATTTTTCGGTTAGAAGAGCTTCGCTGGATGACATTCATCCTATATTATCTTCACGCTTAGTTTCATCTTATCGGCTTGTTCATGTCCCTTCCTTCCCGAAAGTGTTTAGTCTGCGGCGCATGGCAGGACTAGCCTCAGTGAGCAGGCAACGCTTCTCGTCATCTTCCTGCTTGTCTTGCCTAAGCTGCAAGAGCACCTGAAAATGCAAACTCTTCAGTCACCTCACACCTCAGCTCACTGTGACATCTAGATTTCGATCGGAAGTTGGCTCGTGCAATACACTTGGGCTCACGGAGTCACCCTGGCCACCTAAGGTTGCCAGGGACGTGATCCCAAGAGAGCAGTAAGGCAGTAAGGAAACTCCAGTGTGGACTACAGCTAGCCTGTGTTTTGAAGTGTGAGCTGTCTGGAGGATGGATGTACATGAGTTCTTCAAGTCAGGGAGGAGAGTCTCTCTTCAGCACGCATTTTGCCACGATTTTTCGTCGCAGCATGTTGCAAGAGGAGGCATCCAAAACCCATCTGAGGGGAGCCACACTTCTCTCCGCCGTACAACATAATCAGACTATGACCGTAACGATTCGTGATATCTCTATCGCACTGAAATTAAGTTCTTGTCCTTGCTAGTGGTGTCCGCACCTCCGGTGCAGAAGGGTTTAACTTAACCGTAGGGCTTCTCGTCCGAAGGAGACAAGTTCACTGTTGCGTTTTTGTGGTCGCGGTACTTATTCGGACCTCCGCAGAGAGTGCCACATGCGCTGTCTTCAAGTCGGATTCGCCGCAGCACCTTTCAGGAAGTTTCACCCATTCAGACAGCGCCTTGTTGTGCACGGTAGACAGAAAGCACAGCAGTACACACCTCCAAACGCAACAGTGGCGACGACATTGGCGTTAGCCTTGACCCAAAGCCTCGTAGAACAGCTTCTGGCAAACATTGAGCATGTTGCTTGACTCTCGGGGCCTCAGCAGTTGAGGAAAGTTTTTCTTTGTACACCCGAACAGGCGCGTGTCTACTTCCCTATGTTCGGTCGTGTCATAACATGCCCAAACGTCCTACAACTTGCGAAGAGAGACATGAGATACCCTACCCAATGTACGCACCACAAAGATACCAAACAGCAGCAGGCGTCTTAAGGCTTTTACAACAGGAGCACCCTTCTCAGAACGCCCCCTATATCTGAGCACGAAGATGTCCATGATGGCCACGATCTCAGCTCCTCCTGCCGCCTCCAAAGAAGTCAAGGCGAGGCCGAAGACGGAAAAGCACCTAAGGCCTAAATCTTCAAAGTCTTACATCCTACGCTAGAGAGTTGCTTATAGGGGTCGAGAAAACCTAATCATAGATCATAATCATCCTCTTGATGACCATCATGACCCCTGTCTGTGAAAGAGGTCAGGACCGGTCCATCGACCTTTGCGGCCGTGCCAGCTTCGGAGATTGCTCCGCAGTGCCCGGTGCAGCAAGACCAGGCTGCAGCAAAGTCGGATCGATGCATGATGAAAGTTAGCAGTCCCGTAGTTGGAGATCCCGATTATGAGACACACTCTTGATCTTTCTATTTGGGGTCCAGACCAGATCTAGAGCTTCTTCGGGTATGGGCGGTTTGGGGGTTCACGATGTAGCCTGGAGCGAGTCAACATCTAAAGCTGCAGTTTTGGGAATCGGATTGCCTACCGCTCTAAATCCGAAACTCTGAGCTCTGGACTTTGGATCGTATGCGTATTTCGGGGTATATTTAAGTTTATCTATGGGCTCTTCAAGATGATTGAAGATCAAGCTTAAGCTGTCACAACCTACTTTACCGTCGGGCCACGATACAAGCCACAATATCGAGCTTATGTAAGCCCTGTAGCAAAGTAGGTTTTGGTGAATCACGGACAAGCTAAGCTGTATTCTTACATCTTTCGGGACAGCAAATACATCCCCGACCTGCAGAAAGTTTGTAGCACTGGCTCCAAAAAGTCTTGGCTGCGAGTTTGCCAACCGGTGCTGGCTACCTTGGCGATTCCTCAACTTTTGACCATGAGAACTACCCCGTTTTCAGTTAGAATTGAAACCTGCACTGTTGAACGTAACTGGGCCTGCAGGGTAGATGCTGGCGACTCCTTGGCAGCGTGCTGGTGAGTGCGGCTGTATGCACGAAGGCAGGTTGGCAGTGCACAGTGCCGAGGGAGACAGGGCGTGTTAATTCTCCGTGGAACCTTGATCTTGAGAATCCTGGTAGTTATTTGTGTGACCCGAGTTCCACTTGAGCATGCATGTTTCTGGAAGCCACGTGCAAATCCAGAAGCTCGCAAAGGCAACGCGGGCACAAAGAGTTCGACGACTCTGCAAGCCTGTAACGACGATGCGCGAGCAGGACCGTCCAGCAGTAGTATGTCGCAGCAGGTGTTGGTGTTGGTGTTGTTGTTGTCGCTGTTGCTGTTGCCGCTGCTGATTTCAGTATAGCAAAATCGTCGTCGTCGTACTGCTACTACCACTACTCCTCCTGCTCCTCCTCTCCCTCCTCCTCCTGCTTCCTCCTGCAGCTGCAGTTTTCAAGCCCGCTTCTAAATTGAAGATGGCGTGGCAGGCAGAGCTTCTGGTCAGCGACCGCAAAGCTTTGCGGATTGGGAACGGCGATCTCGAGTCTCTGATCTCAGAGGCCCAGATCAGAGTGTAAGATATATGTTGAAGCTGGCTGCCGTAGCCGTACGAATCAGGCGCCTGATTTCTGTGTCGGGTTTGAGGCTGCGTACTGTCGGGAGCACACTTTCCCAGCTGGATCTTAGAATCTCGGTGAACTCCGCAAAACCAATCCGGCGCGGGGCTGCGCACTTCCACTTGCGCTGCAGCTGCCATCATGCCGGGTCGAATCTATCCATGGGGTTTAGGTAGGGTTTAAGGTTTAGGGGTTTTGGTTATTGGGTTTAGGGTTTAGTGCGAGTGTGGACATTCGAAGCCGAAACATGTTTTGACTTGCGAGGAGGAGCGCGAGACGATGACTCAGAAGGCTGACACACTCCAACCCTACAGGCCGAACTCGGAGGGCTTCGTTTAGGGTTTTGGGGCTTAGGGATCAGAGCTCCCTTCCCTAGCACTGACCATGAGAAGATACCCATACTGCAGAAAGCGATCGTCGTGAGTTTTGGAGTTATAGGTGTTCATGAAAAGTGAAGCGCTGCCCACGATTCAGACTGCCTAAGTTTCCCCTTGAGAGGCAGTATGTCCTCTTCGCTGCCTTCGGATTAATCCTGGGGGCTGGAAACGATTTGCCCCCGTCTCAGCTTTGAGATGCCAGTGCCACATCAGAGCCGCACTGAGCACGAACATTCGGTTCTCTGCAGCCTCGGAAATCCTTTGCCGCAGGTTTTGGCTGGTTTTCCAGCCCTCTTTCTTCACGAAGGGCTTCCTGCCATCAGGGAGCACAGATGATTCGCAGTTTTCGCGGCTGCTGGTGATCTTTGGATTGGCAGCGGTGGGTGCAGGACCTGGAACCAGTCAACGAAAATTTAAGGACCGTACAGCCCGGTTCTTGCACCCGCGGCCTAGAACCCCCAAACGGCTAAACCGCAAGCCCCAACTCGATCGCTTCAATCCGAAAGCCTGGGGGGTCATCTTACCCTTGACCTTCAGCCCACCCAAGCACAGAAACCTAAACCCTAAAGGCCCTAAAATTCAGCCCGCCCAAGCACAGAAACCTAAACCCCATCAACCAATGCCCAAAATCCTGAACTCCAAGCCCCAGGCCTTAGACTTGAACCCAAAACCAATACAGCCAAGCTCAGCACTCCTACTCCGAAAACCCTACATCCCAAGCCCAAAACTCCACCGCAAACCCCTTCCAGGCCTCTACTACGTGGGGAACGTGGTCCTCGCACCTGCCGAGCTGCCTTCCGTTGAGGCCGTCATCAGCGAGGAGGAGTCTGGTGATTCCGTCGAGGAGGCCCTCGGTGCAGGGTTTAGGGTTGAGGGGTTAGGGTTTAGGGGTTTAGGGGTTCAGGGTTTAGGGGTTTAGGGTTTAGGGGTCTAGGGGTGTTTAGGGTTTAGGGTTTAGGGGTTTAGGGTTTAGGGATCAAGATCACCATTATACCATACAAAGGGCACGCACAACGTTATGATGCGATATCACGTTGTATAGATAGTTTCGCATAGCAGCATAGAATAAAGCGTAGCAGAATTGGTGTTAGTATTCTTGGAGCAACTGTGCATGACGTTTGTTTGTCGTGATTGTCATTATTGCTGGTGTTGTCTAGTGTTGTCATTATTCTTGTTGGTGCTTGCTGTGCCATTATCACGATGACCGTTTAAGCCTGTTTCTGGAGTCTGGGGTTTCGAGCTCTCAACCCTGAACACTAAAGCCCTAAACCCTAAGCCCTGAACACTAAAACCCTCCAGGCTATCCTTATGCCTTGAGGGTTTTGGAGCTCAGGGGATGGAAGCTTCAGGGTTCCTGGAGGTCATCGACAACGGCAAGACTTCGGCTTTGAGTTAGCTTTGGGGCGGTTTTTGGATCCGGGACTCGTTACAGGCCTGTCTGTGCTGAAGGCGATACTACAGGTGCCCTCTTGCAAAGTATAGCCCAACAACCCTAGCACGAGAGTCTTTCGGGAACCCGACTAGCTCAAAGTCCAGCCAGTGCGGAAGGTGGAGGAGAGTCGGATGTTCTACCGACTGCAGGGCAGGCAGCTGTGTGGCAGCTATGTTCGAAGTCCTGTAGCACAGTGAAAGACTGCCGTCAGCAGTTGAGTTATCCTCGTGGAAGTTACTGCGGATGCCAGTGAGTGTGGTTGTGACTCCACCCCTTTTTTCCCAGACAAGCTTCCCTAGCTGATTCACTGAGGTGGTACTATGGGCTGAACCTCGGTCAGAGCTACTCGATCTCGAAGTGCCGCGACGGAAGCTGGAAGTTCGAGGAGGAGCTCGCTGGCAGGAGGTGCACATCGACCCTGAGAGTTGTAGGGGCCTCCGGGTTGCTCTTGAAGTCATACATTGTCTCCTTTCAGTCTCGCCTACTATAGTAGTCGCAAGAAAGAGCTACAAACAGCTTTTTTACACAAAGGGCCTCCCGGGAGAACCTTGAACCCCTAAACCCCCAAACCCTAAACCATCCGAAACCCTTAAACCCCAAACCCCTAAACCCTTAAACTCTAAACCCCCAAACCCCTAAACCCTATACTCCTGAACCNNAGCCCAGGACTGGGTCGAGGGCCATCTCATCGATGATGAAGGCCAGCGCACGGGAACAATTCGTCTCCAACGAGGTGCCCGAAAAATGCTGTGGGTTTGTAGATTATGCTGTTTTACAATCGCTGAGTTATGAGTTATGAATCTTATGAATGTCGTCATTTAGCTTTTCTGCAAGTTATGATTGTTAAGTATGATCATTCTCATTGTTCTTACTGGAAATATTAGTGAATACTAGTTATTAGTATTCGATTATTGTTGAATTCTTAATCCTACTAATCATGAGGGCTTAGGGTTTAGGTAGTTTAGG